GAAAACATATCGTTCATGACTTCCACGGTGTCCAGACCTGTACGCTGAAATTGCTTCTTTTGCTGGTCAATCCCAGTGGCTTCTTTCGCCAAACGAACGCCGCGATTTATGAAATCATTAACTTCACTTCAGTAGAAAGGTGCTGTATACATGAAAGAAAGGTTAACAGTGACATGTTTAAAAGCAAACACGGACCATTCAGGACCATTCTTGGCCTTTGAGCGGTACTGTACTCAACTAAGTAAAGTAGGCATGCTTGCTGTTTCCTTTACAACTAAATAACTGAGTTGGGAAAAGAAATATAATTTTGTACAAATTGTCATGTTTAATAAGTCAGTTGTCATGAGTACTATCTCTCTCACTGGACAGTTAAGTGACTGTAGTGCACTGTATATTTTGTACCTTTGACTATTTGCTTTTACTTACCCTGCAAGCACATTAATTACTTACAACACAAACGTTATGATATAATTATATTTTTTCCCACAGTTCAAGAGAGGACAACTTTTCTTTCTGTTGAAAGAAACAGGTACAATTTGAATGCATGTTAAAATAAAGTAGTATTGTTCAAAATAGAATTAACTATGGTAGTGTTTCAAATGCATTCATAAAGTTAACAAGCAATCTGTGTACTGAATTCAACTCACCATCGATCTTCAAAAAGTATACTGAATAGTTCACCGGATGCAGTAACTCCCTTACAATCACCTCACTAACACGAAACTGAATTAATTGCCGCTCTTCCCTGTCACAAAGAAAAGCTCAGGCATCATATTGTATAAAGAACCCCTTTAAAAACAGCCATCATGTTAATGTTATATCCCAAGTGTTGTGCCCTCTTAGTGGTTAGGTTAACACTGTACTGCTGATGCAGTGTACAGTAGAAACATACCAAGTGCGAATTCATGTAGTTTTAATTAACTAAACACCTGACTTTAACTTGTCAGTAAGCAATATTCAAATGGAGGGTTGGTGTATTTGACATCAAAGTAGGCAATAAGCAAGTGAGCATTGAAAAAATGCATATAAATGGTGTAAGCATGGCAACCTCCCACAGGTCACCGCCCATGGCACCTGTCACACTATATGATTATTGACAAATCTCATTGAATAGAGTACTTAAAGTGGTATCTAATGGTGGATAATATAATGAAGGTTTGTATGTATACTAACTGCCACTTGTTGTTTAATGAGCTTATGCTCCCATAGGCTGTAGGCCTGCATGTATAAATTAGCAATTATTGATTAATTGATTGACCTAATAGTGGTTATAGTTATGTGCTTGCCATCACAAGGTTGTATATAGCTTCACCTTATACCTGGGAAAAGGAGGTCCATCTCAGTGAATTGATATTTGGAAAAATTTGGAAAAATAGCCAACAGTATTTATTTTATTTCAATTTTATGAGGTTCATTAATATTTATAATATATGACTGAGAAAATTACCTTAGTATGATTGGCTGAGAGTAGGCAAATGCAAATCCATATCCACGGGAACATTGACTCTGTCATTAATCAATGTAATGAGCAATTCAGGACTTGCACTGGCCATGATATTTGAAAATTCTTTCAAATTACATTCATGCATAACTTTCAAATATCACTTGTAGTGCCAATCCTTTATTGCACTTGCATTCACAGGATAACCTACTGAAACTAATTAATTAACACCATTTTGTAACTGTTTTCATTAGGAGTGTCGCAACCCAGATCCACCTTGAACTGGGATATTTATATCTTTACTACTATGACACCACAAAAGCCAGGGTAAGTGAGTAGTTAATTACAATGCGCTTGCCATGAAATCCTGGGTGCCCAGCACTTAAGTTTCCATGAAAGAAGTAAGTTTTATTGAGTCGTCCAAAGGCAAACGTTAGTCATGTGTGGCACCTGGGCTTTTGTAGATCACATCCCTGCTATCACATTAAAAACATGTTTAATCTCCAGACAATCTCCTGGTGAAGATTGCTTCTCTTATTACATATTTTTTCAATTCTTTCATTGTTTATTGGTGAGGGTATTTGGGGTAGCAGCAGGTTGCATTGAACTCCCAATAAATCCTACATGCATACTTTCAGGAACATTTCACTGTGGCTCAGTCCAACTTAGGCTTACAAGTTGAAATCACAGGTAAAATATTACTAAAGAAAAAAATGACTTTATTTATTCTTGATAGATAGATAGATAGATAGATAACCTTTATTTTAAAACGATGAGTATTAAAGCTACATGAGCTTGTGGGGTTGTTTGTAATTAACTAATCGCTAAGTAACTAAAAAAACTAAAAACTAGGGGTATTTACAGAAAAAAAGTTTGAACCTAAGTCAGCGATATATACAATAAGAGATTGTTAGCATAAGTTTTTAAGTATATACAAAGTCATCTTTTCTAAAGCTACAAGTGGATGCAGACGTTATCTTAAAGCTGAATTCATTAAAATTAACTAGAGATGGTCAGTGTCTATACCACAAAGGCTACTGGGCCAGCAATTATTAATTTATAATAAATTATATATTTAATTGTCAAAAACAAATATTTGGTAATAGACATTAAAATTAACTGTGGCAAGGTTAAAAACCCCAACTGGCAGGAGGCACACCGGTTGGTTATTCACAACCATGGTCGAGTAGTTGAACTTGGATCTGCTGTAAAACAATTCCAGTTAGCCAGTCATCATCAGAGGGGACTTTGAACATGGAACATCCGTGTTTTAATACTGGCACCTTAACTACTTGGTCTTGGTCTCCAATAACTGCACTCTTAAGTTTCCAATATTTGTAATTATTACATGGATTGTGTTTGTAGCTGTTGTAACGTGCACTCTGATTGGCCAGTTGTAAGGCATTATTCTCCCGTAATGCCCATGGGCTGATTACGGGCCCGCAAAACCAAAGCAAAAAGTCATATGATAAACAACTTATTAACCTCGCTATTGTTCAGTCAATACAGTAAGGTCTCAGTTTGAGATTTTCCCATAAAGACCTCACTCTCGGTTAACAAATAGTTAATATCAAAAAAAGATATTTTTGAAGTAACTGCATGACTGTAATGTTTGATAACACACCTTCCTTGAACATTTGTATTGTTCATTTGTCAGGTGCTCTTGGAAAGAGAACAAAATTTCAAGAAAATGATTTTGCTCAGCCAGTATTATTGGTTCAAAGAGAAGGAACCATCAATGGAATTCCAACAGGTAGGGCAGTAACAAATTTGTTTCCATCGATCTGAAAGCAATTTATTGTTCATAGATCAGTGGGTAGCATTGTGCTTGACAGAGAACTTTTAAAAACCTGTTTCTTTGTCAGGTTCCACATGTTAATATCTGTAGCTGTACTATTATTTCTAGCTTTAGACTTCTTGCTGAAGAGAGAGAGACAGCATAAACTTTTTTCACATTTATACAGACACTAGCTGCTGTTGAACCCAGAGCTTTAATTCAGAGTCATGGATTTTTGGCTCATGTAGATAACTATAGTTAAAAACTTCTACTCATCAGATAATTGACTTTGCCTCTTGCATGAAACTTTTGTATCAGAAGAGGTGGATAGTCCTCAGTATGATGCTGCTACATGCATTTAAACAAATAAAATGAATAAGTATAGTATGACTGTAATAAAGATACATCAAACTTCGGCATGAGCAATGTAATAAGTTTTTTAATAATTAAAAGAACAGTCAGTGATTGTACATACGTACACACTGCACTTTAGTATTAAATTGCTGATGTTTGTAGCTACATGTTTGTGCTTTCTTCTTAAAATTGATAACATTTTGGTTATCCTGCAGATGAATCTACTGAAATGATTAACCGACAGAATTTGCCTAGAGTAAGTTACTTTTTAGTCACTAGTAATGATAATAATAATCATGACTAAATTATGGTAGAAGGCTAGAAACTCACCAGTTAATCACTCACAGTCTGTCAGTCTGTCTGTCTGTCTGTCCACCTGTTTGTCTGTATTTCCATCTGTCAGTCAATTTGTTTATAGCCATGGTTAATGAGTATTGTCTTACACAAAAATAGAGAAGCTAAATGTGAATTATACTCTGATCAAGTACATGTATTACTGATGATATGTGTATACTTTGTAATGCTGTCATGCGTATCCAATGTTTTTATTTTATTTTAAAGGAGCTCAGTCACGTTATTTTGAGTTATTTTGGCCACGTATAAAATAACCTTTAAATGGTAGGAAACCTGAAAATAACAGTTTAATAAGATAGAAAAACACCAAAGAGATAATGATAAACCATAAAAGAACAAAGATGGCTAAGGATAGAGAAGATTGACATGGATTACAAACGACGAATTTGAAAAATTGAGGCTAATCTTTTCAATATGTGCAAACCGTGACTGAGCTCCTTTAAATAAAGTGTGATAAATACCTTTACAATATTTCAATTCTTGTGCATGTAGAAATGTTGTTGAGAACTAAGAATTAATTTTTCTGAAAGTAGTTTAACACAAAAACAAGCTGCCCTAAAATATTATTACATGTAATTTGATGGGTACCATACATGTAGAAGGAATGTGGTGGTTTGTTCTCTCTAGTAGAATAATCACAAAAATGCTTGTCCTGTTTACATTCATCACTTGCTGTTCTTTATTTTTCTTGCTTAGGATGTTGCACTTGATGATGATGTACTTCTGAATAAGATCCAGTTCAAAGATACAAATACTCAGCAAATTAGCCAGACTGTTCTCAGTGCCTTAGATCAGGCTGTCATCCTTGGACTGACGTAAGACTTGTTATTTTAATTAACAGTTGCTTGTGAGCCCAACTTTTCTGTATTTGATTGTAATTTAGTATTTAGAGCAGTTGAAATGGCTGGTGAACTTGTTCAACTAAATTTGTCTTTACCGTAAGAGTCAATCAGTTTAATATAACAAAAAAACAACAACAAAAAACAAACAAATTATGTCATTCTGGTATTAATTTTACTGCTTGACCCTTATGTGTAGTTTTCCTGAAATGTGTATCCAAAGTTGGAGAATCTTACTGGATGTTTTTTTTTCTTACTTACCCCAGAACAGTTCTGGTTCTTTGATTCAAATTCTGAATTTACCATGGAATAAATATAATAATGCAAATCATTCAAACGTAGTATATTTCTCTAAAATTCAGTTACCGTAACAGTTTAAAATGTTGTTCAGTTGTGGTCTGCTTTTAGACCAAGTCAGCAGTCTCGGGACAGTTCTTTCCTGTGGTAGGCATATTGGGGCAGTCAGCCCCTGTAGTGGACTATACAGAGAGCCTACACCCAAGCCAAGCTATAGAAATAAGGAAAACATAAGGAAAGCTGGCATTTTGTTATTTAAAAGACCCTTTCAAAATACCTTGTTCAAGAGCACCTAATGGAGTCCTGGGCGTAGCTTGCATTTTTTCATGGAGTACACACCAAGAAAAACTTAATGATCAGGAGTAACTTAATATGTTCTTTAAATAATCTGCTGTAGAGCCGGCTAAAATTTAAAGCCGTCTTTGTTGCCAGAATGTTTCGTGATTTATTGCCAAGTGTCCTTAACTTTTTTTAGCGAATAAAAGTGAAAAACTTTCTTTTGCTTCTTAAATTGTGTATTAAAACCTGCTAACGTGCACTTAAGGACGTTCACGTTAATTGTTTCTGTGCATCCTTACTGCACATGCAAATTCACTTACCACGTCATGCATGAGAGTGTGCGCTAAGCAATAAAAATAATGAACAATGATGGGGCAGATGGCCATTGCTATAGCTTCGCCTAGCTTTAATGATCTTGGACGTTCGGTGACCCCTATTTTTCTTTTGATGGATCATTTTCTTTACTGATTTTCTATGTTTAGTGAAAAAATGAAGAAAATCTATCAACTAGAAGCTTGAATTGTTTACAAAATGCACCATCGAATTCTGTTCTTTTTGGATCTTTGTTTATCTGTGTGAATTAATTGGTTTCAAATGCCTCTTGAAGGGTTAAGTTTTGTGAAAATGTTGGTAAAATTTAGAATTATTTATGCAAGAGACCCACTTCTACAAAATAATTATGACTAAGATTGTTTGCCTGCGTTGACTCACCTTCCACTTTTTTAACTATAAACCCCTGTAGACCATGCTGATTTGTCAAAATCAAATTAACAAATTAACCTTACATTTTTTGTAGTTTTGAACACAAGAAGAGTCAGGCAGTTAGCAAACTTAACAAAGAAAAGCTGTTGGCATATTTGGAGGTAAGTTTTGTCATAAAGCCATATCATTTTCCTTAACATTGGCTGAAAAACAAACAGAAAGTGTTGCATTGACTTTTACATGATAGTAAGTGTTTTTCAGCTAACCAAGCATATTAAAAGGNTTGCTATTGACTTTGCCTTTTTTTTGCTTCTGTGCAACATTTGGATATTTAGGAAGAATGAGAAGATGTTTTAATTAAAACCTTCCTTCTCCTAGATTGCTATGTAGAATGGTTCCATCATGTTGCTCCAAACTATATGGAACATCTAGAGACTTGAAAACTGTACTGTGATTATTGCTATTTTTTTTATTTTTGTTTGCTTTAGAGAGATTTAGCACAGTTGCTGCTTGGCTTGGGTGTGGTCAAAAGTGCTGTGGAGATTTTCCAAAAATTGCATTCCTGGGAGGATCTTGCAGTTTGTTACCAGAGCTTGGGGTGGTATGCCAAGGTGAGAGACATGGAAACACTGAAGAAAAATCACAATAGTCATAGCTCATAGTACTGCAGCTGGACTTGACATCAGATCAGCCCTTTTAGATATCAGATCTCTCATTGATAATTAATGAGAGATCTGATATCTAAAAGGGCGTATATAGCATTTTGGGCCGATTTTTATATTTTGCAGGATCGAGCTAATTTTCGGCAGACTGACTTGTTTTGACATGAAAGGCATCGTTGCGTAATTGTGTTTGTTGATTTGCGCTTCGTTTTCGAGTATGCAAAGAAACTCAGTTTTCCGAGCGGCATCTTTTGGAGCGAATCCTTCCAAGGTGGATTTTGACGTGGCGCAAACTTAAACCGTTACTTTTAGCAGCTTCGACAGCACGGTTTTTTTTTTTAAATAGATGTTTTGATTTTTGAGAAATGTGATAGTAGAGAAATAGACCGGACAAAAAAATCGACCGACCCCGTATCGAACCGGTGTCACGACAAAACAAACTCGTATCCGGCCCGTTCGGCGCCTTATTCGCTTGCGCTAACGAAGCAACAGGAAGAGATTTGTGTAATTATATGAATAGTAAAACTAGCAGCAAATACCACGCTTCGGTGACTTCATCGTTCAGCAAAACAAAGGTTTCTTTTGTTTTTCGCTCAACAAAAGATCTTCAAAAGGTACCCTTGGAAAACTGAGTTTTTTGCATACGTTATTTCTCGAAAACGAAGCGCAAATCAACAAAAACAATTACGATGCCTTTCGTGTCAAAACAAGTCAGTCTGCCAAAAATTAGCTCGATCCTGCAAAAAATAAAAATCGCCCCAAAATGCTATATACGCCCTTTTTGCACGAAAGCCTTCAATTATTAAAATGCACCATCTTGGCAGTGTACCACCAATGATTTACTATTGTGTCCTTCCTCAAAATTCTGTGAGTAACATCGAGGATGAGAACAATAGGTTATTTTTAAATTTATGCATAGCACTGGCTAGAGATATTTAAATTAGTGTTGACGTTGCATTTAGGAACAAGCTGTTGGTTTCTTTGCAGCTGATAGCGTTGTAAACTAAAATTGATCTCGTAGTCTCGGTAGGTGGGTGGGTGGGTGAGAAAGTAAGGACAGTTATGGAAGACAGCAACGTGTAAGAGTTCAATTGGGTCTGGAACAGCGAATAAATGGCTACTCTGAGAAAGTGTCTCTGCTAATTCCCATTTATTAATTTTATTCCTTTATGTCATCAGCAAGCAGTTTGAATGCTAGTATTTTGAGTATTTATTTAATTTCTTTGTAGGCAGAAACACTTATTCGAGACCAACTGAAGATAAAAGAAACTGCCCTTTTATGGTGTCTTTTAGGCGATACATTAAAGGTAACAGTTCAGCATATTTAAATGAAATGTTAACTCCCCGGGGGGGTACGCCTTATAATGGCTTATACGGGAAGGCTCCGCCCGAAAGGGTGTAACCTTATCTGTATTTCATTGCACTTGTCGTTTGGTTTACTCAACTTTTAACATGTGGTCAAGGTAGTCTAGTTGTACAAGGTATTTAGTTAATGGTTACATCTGTTCTTTAGGATGCTAGCTGTTACGAGAAGGCCTGGGAACTATCAGGCCATCGGAATTCAAGAGCCCAAAGATCTCTGGGATATTTGTATTTAAGGGCTAAAGAGGTAAGATATGTATTAAGCACAATACAGAGCGGTTTTGCCCTGACTAGAATGACAGGTTTTTAGTTTCAACTCTACTATTCGGGACCCAGGCATTAATCACCTAATATGTAAAAGTCACTACTACAATTGCGATTAAGAAACTGCTGACCGTGTCCTGGTGCGCATATATCCCGTTTGGAAGTCTCTGCACTGGGAGGATTTAGACTTATATTTATACTCTTGAAATGACGCAACGAAAACTACTGGATTGAAAAGAAATAATTATATTACAGTTAGGTTATGCTTAAGAAATATGTTATCCAGTCAGCAACACAAGCTACTTAGAAAAACATTTCCGAGTTCAATCATTTATTTTATACGAAAGTGATGCTGCCATCTGAGGTAAGTTTGCTTCATATGAATCTGAGTGGTGGAGCGACCGACCGGTAGCCGAGAACTCGAGAGCTTTCCTTCTCTAGTGCTATGTTAGACCAGTAATCTGGCTGAAAATAAAGGAATGCCGGGATACCCTAGAGTTAAGCAGTGCGATCTCTCCTTTACTACATGTTCACTTATGCTGCAAACGCAGACATCATTTCATGGTTATTTTCCAGTTTTCGTTTACATTATTTCATTTCAAGGGCATCTGTAAATTGGCTTGTCTCCATCTTGGCTTTTGTTATGTGGTATGATTCTAAGCACATCTAGTTTCATATTCTTCAAAAAGGACTGAATTAGTAAAAAAGTGGCTCATGACTTAAACTAACACGTATTTTGTGTTGTCTTTTAGTATGCGAAGTCAATACCATGCTTCCAAAAGTCGCTGGAACTCAACTCATTGCAGGTATGTACCAAGTTAAACAAAGAGAGCTGCAAAAATTACCCCCCTGATACTATAAATAACGTTATACCACAGGTCATTGGTCATTATCTTTAAAACTTACAATTAAAGGACAAGATTACAGCGAAGTCATTAACATTGACTGATGAGGGGTGGGTGTATTGTGGCTTCTTGACTCGTGATTTATTCGGAAAAATGGTGTGTGAAAAAAAAAATGTTTTCCAAAATGTTCTGTCACGAATAGCCACTATGAGCCATGATTTTGATCCTCATTTTTGTACATATATCACAGAACATATTTAACAATTGTTCCACGAGTGCGTGTTGGATATAAGATGATAGAGCCAACGAGGCGCAGTTGGCTATAATCATCCTATATCTAACAAGCGCGAGTGGAATAATTGTTTTATTAAAAACGCCTCCAAAACATAGAAAACTAAAATAAAAATAAAGATTAAAACGCCCCAAAAGTTACGCCTACGCCTACCATATTTGTAGAGTATGGTATAATGGTAAGCAAATGAAAACTCTTGAACTGCATTATCCAATGATCCAGATTTTAATAACGTGTATTGTTATCTTTCTGTAGCATGGAGTGTGGTTTTCCCTTGGTTGTGCAGCAATGGTGACAGGAGATTTCCAACTCTCTTCCAAAGCATTTCATCGCTGTGTTTCACTTGATAGTGAGGTATAATACTAACGTGCCTATCAAAGTTAATCTCTTCTTTCCAGGAATGTCTTGACTGTAATAGATTAACTCCATTTACTGTGCGAGCTGTTTTTAGCTTGCTCTCCGAGAAAAATGCTTTTAGCAATGTTTTGAAATTATGTCAAGAAAGAAAAAATACTGGCGCTAATACAGTAATTGGCTGGTTACTAGTAGCTGCTGTCAATCATGATAACGTGTGCTGTCGTGAAGTGAGCTCAAAGGTAATTTGAGGCGGGCGTCAGTGGGCGCGTGACTGTTACATCACTCATTTGGTAGTTATGGTAACGGTTGATGACAGTTTTAAAGTCATGTGTTGGTAGACGTTGAACGTCTGCCCTGTCTGTTACCGCTGTAATCTTCTAGATTTACAGCAAGGATTTGTTTTGCCAGTGGCTAATTGTGAGCGATTTATCCTGATGCTGGGCTTGGTTTTGTTTGTGTATTTTGTCTTGTTGTTCCAAGTCAATGTGAACCTTAAGACTGTAGCATTGGGGTATTAACTATCAGCAACTGATTGTTTCCGATTGGATTTGTACCTTTTTGTGAAGTAATCTATTTTGAAACATTTTTAGAGTGTGATTTTATGACGTTCTCTCAACAGAATGGGGAAGCATGGAATAATCTCTCTAATATCTACATAAAGACAGGGCAAAAGTAAGTAGATTTGGTTTGTAAGACTGGAACAACACGTTTATCAGTCTTATTATTTTTGCCCGCGTGTACTAAACACTTGCAAAGGAAGATAAAATCAAAAGAGTAGGTAGAAGAAAACGAACGAAACATGCAATATCAAAACCAAAAGCAGAAAAGGAGGTGCAAGACTGGGGAAGATAGATGTACCACCCTGAAGATAGAAGTGGATTACGAACGACTAACTAGAAAATGCAGTTTTTTTCAAGATGACCATTCCTGATGTAACTCTGTTTGTCCGGAGACAAAGGGAGTTGAGGAACCCTGCAGACAATCTTACGCGTGATATTCCTGTTTACTGAAAACTGGATCATTGGATAATGCAACTCGAGAGTTTTCATTGGCTTAGCCATCATGGCTTATGAGCCATTATACCATACTCTACAAATACGGTAAGCGTGCGCGTGAGTTTTGGGGCGTTTTAATTTTTATTTTAGTTTAGTTTTCTATATTGTGGTGGCGTTTTTAAGAAAACAGCTAAAATTCACTCGTGCTTGTTGGATATGAGATGACTATAGCCAACTCGCGCTCGTGGAAGAATTGTTAAATATCACGTGCAAGGAAATAGAAAGTAGACACAGCAGCTAGTTTGTTTAGGTTCAGTTCCTTGACTGGCTGATTGTCACTGGCCAATAAGACCCTACAAAAACGCTGTCTAAATTAAATAGATGATTTGTGATAATTTACTGAATGTGTAACTTTAGAGTGCGAGCACACCTTGCTCTCAAGGAAGGTCTGAAAGCCAACTATGGCAGCTGGCACATGTGGGAGAACTTTTTGGTGGTGAGTCTGATTGCATTGAATTTATAAAAATTAAAATTTATGTTTAGAGATCTATTAAAAAATAATGTAGTTTTGACATTAATCCAGCTTTTTGGGTTAGTAATTAGTGTTATCGTAATTACTCGTGTTATCGTTGGTATGTTGGTATTAATTTAAGTTACTTGTTTGTAAATTATTAGTACTCATTGTAATTACTTACAGTATGTTAGTATTAGTATCAATGGAAGTTATCTGTTTGTAAATTATTCTTGTACAAGTAATAAATATGTCCAAAAAAACTGGGAGTTTGATTGCGTTGGCATATGAGAATATTTTCACATACCAAGGAAAGCAAGAATTACTTCCATAATTGCTTAGAAAAATATCATGTCTGTTAATATACGGAAAAATAGAATTGCCGTTGTGTGCTGCAGTATGAAGCAATGTCCTAATGTAAGGCGAAGTGCACCAGCATGGCAGGAAGGCTCGCGTGGTTAGCAAGTGATTAGGTCTTGAGTCATAGCTCTTGCACTTTGTTTCATATTCAAGGAACTTTTGTTTAACTTCTTTGGTTGCGAGCTGAGAATGTGGAGTTTTCATGTACCCTCTCCTCTCGGCAGTGATGTTACCGTGTAGCAGCGCATGCTGCTTTTCTCGAATCCCTTAACTATACCCAATTCTGCATAACCAGTGCGTAGTTCTCAATAATTGTGGTACAGTTAGTTCTGTCGTTCCTTGTTAGGTTAGTGTTGATGTTGGTGGCTTCAGTGATGCTATTTCAGCATATCATCGCTTGATGGACTTACGAGAAAAGTACTGTGATACAGAGGTGAGAGAGAAAATTCTATCCTTGTCCTTCCGATTATTTTGGCAGATTTTAATTAAAGTTGGTGTTTATCTTGTTCGTAAGATCGATAGTTTCATGTATCTGTACTTTATTTGTTGTCGTAGGTTTTAGGCATTCTGGTAAAAGCGGTGAACGAAGGAATTTTGGACAACCAGGACCAACCAGGTGGGTCGAATCTTTGGGTAGATTGTGTTTTCATTTCTTGTTTGTGATGCTCTCGGGGAATTTTTTCTTGCGGGACACAGCGGGTAGTCCCCAGCGGGAAAGATAGCTCCATCTTGCCCCCCTCAGGTAGCCAATCACAGCGCAGGATTTTGTTAATCTTTCCAACTCACGGAGCTGGCCACATAATAAGAGATGGAGTCCTTTTACTAATCAGTTGGATTTTATTTTTCAGCCTCAATTCTTAAACCAAAGATGCTTAAATTGATGGGAAGGCTTACATCACAGGTACAGTGTTATAGTGCTTGGAGTTAGCTATTTTGAAGTTTTTGTTGCAATGAACGTAAGAGAATAACCAGCAGTTGTCTTATCTGTCAAGGTCACCAACAATTTTGAGGTGTGGAAGCTTTACTCAGATTTGTACCGAAATGGCGAGTCTCAAGAAGACAAAGAAAAGGTATGTTATAGTGAAACGAGGGCAAAGTTTGTTCTTGTCTTGTACAGACTTCCAACGAGGGGTAGAGATCAGTACTGGCAAATTCAAACTGTATTCCAATTTTACTGATTTACACAGGCGTTAAACTTCCTGGTCAAGGCCCATCGCACTAGAACCCAGGCTCCAGGCTGGGAAAATGATGTCAGCCAGTTCAAGGCAGTCATAGAGTTGACTGTTCACCTTTGTCAAAGTAAGTAGCACTTTGTTGGTGTAGCGTATCTAAAATTGTTAGATTTGATCAGTTAAGTTGTCAACAATTTACACTAAGTCACTTGGTTTAAGTAACCTTGCAACCCTTCGTTCAAGAATAAGCTACAGACCAAACGCTAAAGTACTAATGATAAGTTAATATAGATTGTGAATTTTAAGCTCGGTAATGAAATGTGACACCATGTCAACCAAATGTCACACCAGTAAAGTACTAGTTTGGGTTTTGGCTTGTATTAAGTGTCCCGACAAGCATCCCTCTGCCTTACCAAGTTCGATCTTTCTTCAGTTCTTCCCTGGTTCACTGGCAGTGTCCGTTAACAATGTACAACCTACGAATTGAGGATGGAAAAGAGACCTGCTTTTTAAATCACTGTCGCATAAGTCCAGAATCTGCCTCTTATTTCATTACGGCAATGGCATGTAAAGGTAATTCCAGGAATGTCAACAGAGGACGCTGCGAAAGAAAGTTACAAAAATTCGCAGCGATTTCGAATAATGAGAATTATGTTAGACTAAGATCTAGAGACTAAAAAACGTAACAGTGCACTGCTAAGTTGATGTAATAAACTGGTTCTTCTTCCCATTTATCTCATTTCAAACTGATTCTCAGACCATCCCTTGGCTTTATTTTCAAGTAGTGTGTGTTACGTTTTAATCATTTCCCTCATTCATAATTGTAATTATAGTGTACATGGAAGTTAGCCAATGCAAAGACAACAAGGCTGAATCAGTGCAGCTTCTGTCCTCAGCTAAACTCAGTCTCAAACAGTTGATTACAAGAGCTAAGGTCAGTGAATTTATCGCTTGTTTTGCATCGCTGTCAGTCCAGGCTTTATGAAGCTGAGGCGAATATACTGGATGGCCCAAGAACAGCGTTGTTTTCTGATAAGAGAGATCTTCCTTTTCCCTTTGAGACTGGAATTGCAGTTCTCGTAGCTTGTCTCTTAACTCACAATCGATTTTTTCGTATGACCTTGGAAGTCTCTTCGTTACAGTTTGACTTGGACGTGCCAATGGTTGAACAGATAGGTTTGTTTACCTGTCAAATCGTAGTTAATGTGTTCAAATGAAAATCGCTCTGTTCTGTGAGTGCCACACTACGCCGAAGGAATTTGGAAACGGAGGTTTCACTATGAAAAGCCATCAAATGTTTTTGTCTACACTACGCGGGAGTAATTCATAATGCAACGATCACCGGTCATTCTGGATTCGTGTTTGAGGAAACCTCGGCCAGGAAAATCACATGATTATCGTGACGTCATCGTTGTCGAAAAGCTCCGTTTTCAAAATGTTTTCCGACCACACGAAAACGCAAAGCCGGCGTTTTTAAATTTCCCCGGTTTGAAAAGTGTTTTCGAAAAGCTCCGTTTTCGTGACGGATTAGTGTGGACGGTAAGCCCATTTCAAATTTCTCCGGCGTGGTGTGGACGTTGCCATAGTCACGGACGGCCTATAAGCCTACATTTTCAAGTTTCCGTCGCAATCTTGATTTGTTGTTCCCCGTCAGCTATTTTCTACCCTTCTTTTAGAGTTTTCCTGATTGCCTTATAAATTAAGCATTTTGTTGCATCCCATTAATGATTATGACATAGTTTAACATTCATTTCAACAGAAACACCACACCGATCCACTTACTGGGGAGATTCATGCCGAACTTTCGCAATCCGTCATGGACTTAGAGGACAGTCTACAGAGAACTGTTGAATTGATTTCTAATTTTAAGAGTTAACTGGATTATGTTGTGATTCAAATGGATGAAGCACTTCTGAAAAGCCCACTAATAACGTACCCGCCGAGATGTAACCTGTCTATTTCCTGCGAGGATTCAGTTTGTTGTCAAGCCGCACAATGGAGCCAAAAATCGACTTACAGGACAGTGCAAACCTTCCAAAACCTCGCGCTGAATGTTTAGTAACTACAGTTAACAGAAAGTGGCATTTGTAAAATATCATTTCTCCCACCGCTAATGATAGTCGCTAATATGGGGATACAGAAAAACACCACCACCATATGTGAACACGTGATTTATTCAGAAAAGAAATCGAAACAAACTGAAGTCCACACGCATCTGAGTGGATTCTATGGGTAAAAAGATTTATAAAATGACTGTCTGAGGAAATGCTAGTTGCAAATAGAGTATTAAATAGTAATGGTGTATCAAATATACCTATAGAGTGTTTTTAGTCACGTGGCCAGCACTCATGCAAATTTATTGGAACAAAAGAAAGTGTTTACATCAGAAAAGAGTTCAACTCCCACAGGACTGGTTTGATACACCATATGGCCGCCGTTTCAGTGTTTTTGGACAACATTATTCTGTTCAGAGCAGCGTCAAAATCAACGTTTGGAGACCAGAATAACATAAGTGCTACATTTTCTTTCTTTGAAACTTATCCCAAGAGAACAAAAAAAGAACGCTTTTAGGAAAAACGGCGGGAATAAGATAAAAGCCAAGATGTTCATAACGAAAACTCACGTCAGTGGCCGTTAACTGTTGTACAAAAAAACAAAACAAAACAAAAAACAACAACAACAACAACAACAACAACAACAAAAAGACCACGAGATGACATAAAAAAATTGGCGACAAATTCCTTCTCTCTCCACAAGAATGTCACATCACATGATAACCAAGTTATTTCTCATAGGCGCGAGCTTTGCTATTCTGTCTGATTTCTCGTTACTTTTTTGGTACTATATTCTAGTTTCTCGTTACTTGCGGCTCTTCTGTATATTGATTCTGGCTTGACGAAAATCCCTGTAAAATTTCCATACATCGTGGACGAATTGTTAAGCTGTAAAGTAGAACCTGCTGGCAGACGTCACTGGAATTCTAAACACACTGATGTCCGTTAAGGGAAGCCGCTTGCTTAAGATGCGGTGCAGTTCATTCAAAGACAGCATTGGATTGCCGTTAGAATCTTGCTGGATGTGAAATTCCGATGACAAATTAGAACAAAGATGAGGTGCAATGGGCAACAGAGGCTCGTCTCTGGAGTAAATGCCTTTTGAATGCGGATTGTATGATCTGTGGTCCGTGAACTGAATTGACAAGTGAGGTCCAGTAACAACACCCCAGTCTAAACAACACAGATCAGTGAGTCTAAACACAGCTTCAAGGCAGTGACTGTTCACTGCACTATCCTGTGGAATAATTACAAAACAGAACATTACTGAATCGCAGTAAACATGCAGCGAAATACAATGAAGAAAACACCAATCTGAAGATTTGTTTTAGAGTTTGATTCCAAATATCTTGAAATTGAAAGATATCACTGATCAAATGTTTAACATAAAACTGTGTGGAAGCATGCTGTGTTTTCAAGATTGCCACACATTTATAATACATTGACTTCTGTCCGCTTAGACTGCGAGCAGTCTCTCTTTTCCTCGAAAATCCGTGGGAAGAACGTAAAACAAGTGAGCATGCGAGCGTGACTGTGAGCGTGACGTGCGAGGCTAAATTGTTTTGCGTTCTTCCCCACGGATTTTCGAGGAAACGAGAGACTGCTCGCAGTGTTAAGTCCGCTAAAAAAAAAAGCGATACACACTTTCTAGCACAGCTACATTTTGTTTGTAGAAACTAGACGAATTGTAAAAAAAGAGCGCAAACACTTCAACATCAGTTAACGGAGATCAGCGACCGAGAGCCCAACTACTACACCTCTTCATAAAACATTGCCTCATTCCTGAAATTTAAGTTGGTTACTGAGGACTTTAAAGGGTTATGATACCTCGACTGGCCACACAGAGAGTGTTCTGAGACTTGGTAGCATCTGAAGTGCATCAGCCAAAGTAGAAGAGATACCAAACATAATAAGATCCAGATGAACAAGTCTAACAAACCACAAATGATGCAACTGTCAGTCGTATTCTGATATACACATGGTACATACATGGCTCACGCTAAGGATATGCCACCCTAAATAAATTTGCATACGTTTTATACACTTTACATAAATTATTTCAATAATTACTGTAAGAATTTTTGATAATTTACCTATGACAGAATTGCATGCAATAAATTAACATGTAACGAAAGGTAAGGTGTATTGGTAGACAACGCAAAAAGTAGAAGGGGCGTTAATATCTGTTGAGATATGACGGAAGGCAAGTGAAATACAGTCGAACCTGAATATAACAGCCACCCTCGGGACTTGAGGAACTGGCCGCTTAATTGTCAATTTCAATGGCGTATTATACACGAACACTTCATGCAAGGAAACAATAGGACAATGAACACTCTTTCAAGCGATCAATACTTTAAACAAGGTTCAGTGCCAACTTGTAACTTAACGGTATAATGTACGTAACATTGTGTAAAAGTACTGTGCAATAAATTATCCTCTACTCTTCTACGGTATACAGTACTGTATTTCTGTGACTTACAGTTCACAACAAAATATCTCATTGCGTCATTTCACAGTTGTTACGTTCAATTNAAGTCCAAATTTTGGCTTATGCGCATGCCCTGAATTAAAATTTTGCTCAATTTTGTACCTAATCCTCGAAAAATCTCTCCACTTAGTAAAAAAAAAGCTTTCTTAGCAAAACTTAAGCTTATTTAGCGTCATGGCAGCTAAAAAACCTGACCAAACGGTTAAAAACGGTATTTTTGAGCGAAAGTTTGGTATTCAAAGGGTTAATAGACGTGGCTGCCTAATACAGACAAATACAGCGTTTGTATGAGCGCAAAATCGGGAGTTTGAAAACTGGCCGCTTAATAGAGGGTGGCCGCTTAATACAGGGCCGTTATGTACAGGTTTGACTGCACATAAAATGAAATGCTTTTCCAAATTACAACGTAGACAGCTGATGACTACTACCTTCTACAATAATATGAAACCTGACCGATGGGACAAAAATATGTTGAAATTAAGTACAATTGGTAGATCTGTGTACATTAAGCAGCAATGTATACCTGTGCATGTCTTTCAAGGCTCGTCCCAGTCCATCATCACTCCTCCCACACTCTAGTCGTAAACACCGTAACTTTGTAAGGTAACCAAGGTAATCGTAAGTCTGAAAAAGAAGAAACACAGCTGTATTGACAAACCACACACTAACAAGTTCACAGTTAAAATCTGGTGTGAGCAAGAAGGTGGATGAAAGTACTCGAATAACGTCACATAACATTACACATTTTAGCCGTGCAAAGACCATTTGACCATTTTCAAATGAAATCTTAGCCAAAAATACATCATGAATTATCAGTAATACCGCACAAGTGAATAGGTTTTTTCACGCGTTCTGATTGGTGGACTGGGAGGTGATTAGCGAAGTACTATTCACCTCCACTTCGATGAATTGTTACTTAATCATCGCTATACCGGAGAACTGCACATGTGCAGTGTGAAATAGCAAACGTTTTTCCGTGAAATGAAAATTGTAGGATTTCTAAAACAGTTTCAGTGTTCTATCCAATCCATTCCACTTCAAAAGTTTCAAGGAAGTTCTACACCAAGAACTGAAAAAGAAGTTCTCACCTCGTTGTCCCAGTCAGAACAGTCTCCTATTTCAAGTTCCTCTATGTTGGACAAATGTCTGAGAAATCCAAAGTCAGAACCAGGGACATTTTTTAAAGTGGTTAATGACTGTGAAAATCAAAAGAAAAAGACTTTTCAATTGAGGTTATTTTAATATTTTCAATTTCCTCACTGACGTCTTCCAAATTTTCGTTCCCCTGCATGAAGTGAAAATTTCAGCTACTGTTAACCGAAATTCACAAGTCTTGCAAACAATAAACGACTGCAAAGACATTGATTTACACCCGAAAACCTTGCTTGCTTATTTCGCGTAGTTCTAGTGACAACAGAACTAACCTAACTCCCTCCCCTCCCATCCAATACAGCCACGTCTTACTACTCACATATAAGAGCATATCGGGTAAATAGTAAGCGATGAAAGCTACAGGCTGGTTTAAGTATAAACTTCACTGTAAGTAAGTAAACTGCAGAAATTGTGTGCTAAGTGTTACCAGTTTAGTGAGATCTTTGAGATTACTCAGTGCTGCCAATCCTCCACTGAAGGCAAATGAAGGGAGAGTTAAGCCACCACAAGCTGCTCGCAGCTGAAGTCTCCTGAGAGAGGTGAGTTGAGCAAGTTTCCCAAAATCCAAGTGTGATGTGTACGACCTTAAATAATGGGAAAAGAAAGAACACAGTTATACAAGGCACCTGTGCATGGTTGCAGATGGGATGTAGGGCGAAATCATGACTGTAATGAACTCTAGCAATCAAATTTAACAGATTTCTGTTGCTCTAAACTGGCGGAAGGTTCGTGTTAAACACAACACAGGACCAATGATGCGGCATGATAATCGTGAATCTCCTGAAGTATTGAATTGGGTTAGTATGTACATGTAGAAGATGTAGTAGGAGTGGGGATCGTAAAACATACCATCTTTCTGGTTCACTCTCGATATCACTTATCCATTCTGCAGTTAAGACTTCCAAGCTGTCGGATATAAGATATTACATGCGCCAGTCAGTAGCTATTCACAGCCGAATATATGAGGCAAACTGAGTATTGTAAAAAAAGTACCGTAAGAATCACCATTGTACTGATGAAGACCTAACACTCGAAACGAAAGCCTCACAAACTCGTAAAAGCGGTAAATTTACTTTTATTGACGTTGATAAATAGCAAAGAACGAGGAGTCAATTAGTTAGGGAGCAGCACGAAAAGAGGCAAGCCTGGAACAGGTTACTAAGGACACGAAACTTACAATTTACAAAGTATGGCTCGCACTCTATTTTCTTCATCCACACAAAAAGTCTTGAAGACTAAATACTGGAAACTTCTCGATTCTCAATCATCTCTGTTCCTTTCTGAATCAGTTTGTCATGTCAGTCTTGATTGTCTCATATGACCGATACTTATTATATTTTGAAAATTTTGTGTATAGCATATTACATGTCATCTGACTTCATCTTGTGGCCCCTTTAACCCTGTAATATTATACCATCATATTATTAGCAGTTTCACTGAGTCACTACTTACTCAGGTAAACATTCTGCTACTTGATGAAGAATCCATGTTGGTACAAGCCCAAAGTCTAGCCACCTCAGAGCAGATAGTTGACGAAACACATTTCCAATGGTTGACCATGAATCAGCANTTGTAAGCAAGTTCCAAGCATGTCCAACGCTCACCACTTGCTCTTGTCGTGAAGGTTAAGATTCAAGCAGTTCAAGGGATATGACTTGTGCGAGTGGTAAAATAGGTATTACAATTGTTTCAAGTGGTAAATGTGGTACTTTTCATTGAAATAAATTAAATCGTCATTCCACAGTAAATGGTGAAACTGCATCTCATTAAGTAAGAGACCCTGTCAACTTGAAGGAGTCGTAAAACTGGTGAAGCTGCACACAATATACTAAATAGACAATCTAGAGTTACGCCATGTGCAGGAAAAGTAGCAAATTACTTGGCAGACAATTAAAACAAAACTATGCATGCAAACAAACAAAAAAAGAGCCCATGCAATGTATACCTTGTTCCATAAGTGTGTACAGGCAAGTGGGATGCTTTAAGTGCGAAGCTCATGAAAACAAATTAAACTCAGTATGCATGCATACAACACAAACTGTGCACACAAACAAAACAAGAACAACCCAGGCAATGTATTTTCGTTCTATAAGCGAGGCAAGTGATTTGTTTTGTGTAAGAAGCTCACAGAAACAAATTAAACTATGCACGCATACAACTTACATTCGAGAAAATTAGTTTCCTTATAACAGTAGAAATGCTACTACGACTTCAGAAACTTGAGAAGTTCTTGTTTACCTCTGTCTATTTGTGTGTAATTTTGCTTTTAAAATCACCGGCTTTCTTCACAAGTGTGTTAGCGATCGTGTTCATGATAAAAGTTTGGTATCAATTTCATCCACTCTCAGCTTACTGGTCTTTCAACAGAACTTGTACCACATTTACTGAGGAACATAGTGACATACATGTACGAAGGTAATTTGATGACAGTTACCATTTCAGCTATTTACTTGCAAAGCATGTTAAAATAAATTGCTGTCAGAATGTTTCCTTAGTACGCATCTTCAGATGTTACAATCCATCGAGAATAAACAGGAGTGACGTAGAACACAGACAGCTGGAGTGTTAAGCCAGCCAAAATGAAATTCTTCAGAGGGTATTGCGGGTGTTCATATTATACTCTTGGAAATTCCAGGGGGTGGGTTATTTTTGAGCTCATAAAATGGAAATTCTGGGGAAGTGGGTGCCGCACATGAAATTCCCTCTGTGGTGGGGTATGGATATTTTCTGGAACTACACAATGACACATAGTTCAGTCCTCAAAACGCATTAAAAAATGTTCTCACCAAGATGGGCTGGGATGATACTTGATTCCATGTAGTACAAACACAGCTTGCACTGCAGGGGACAAAAACATTAAGTTATTAACATGTGTATATATTCACTATTGTTTAAGACATTCAATTAGCTTATGTTACATAACTTAGTATAATAGCCAATTTCTGCATGTAGCATAACACAAAGTTGATGACTCCACTTAGAAAAACAATTTGTATAAAAGGCCACGGGACAGGAAGCTTAGTAGGTGCATTGGCTATTTAAACTAATGACTCAAATGTTAGAGCATAATCATAATATAAGATTCACACAATTTGACTCTATAGAAAGAAAATGGTGATCACTCTTCCTTGATTAAGCAGAATAGTAAAACTTGATGAGTGTTCCCTTGATTAAGGGCCCTCCATCACACTCACTCTACCTTAAGAGTCAATCAGTGACAGCTCAAGAGAACGTGGAATTACAGGTTAAAGGAAAAAAATTACACTCCAGGGAACCCCAAACAATCCAGCTTGAACCTGGAGTCCAAAGCACTTTAGGCCACTCAGGTAATTTATTAGGTTTAAGCTTGTAAAATGTCTACATTCATATTTTACGGTATCAAAAATGTTTGATATTTCTTTCCAATATTCTTTCCTGGTTGTGTTTCTTCTTAATTTATCTATTTATGTCGTTGTTATTTTCTATCAATTTTGAGACGCACATTTTGAAAATGTATGTTGAATTTGCACCATGCAAGTCCTTATCATCATTAATTTATTATTAATTCATTATTATTAATATTACTATCGTCACTACCTGCACAGATCAATGAGGGGAAGATAAGACAAGATGTGAAGCAGACAATCAAATGAAAGCTTCAGGATAGGACATAAATCTGTTAATTTGATTTTGACTTTAAGAGCATTTGGGTTTTCAACCAGCGAACAGTGCTGCAAATGAATGTACAAGAAACGACTTTAGTTCAACCCATGATACAAAGAAGCTCAATAGCATGGTGTCAAGTATAGCAAAGTCAATCAATCTAAATAACATACACTGTATTACAACTCAATGATGCCTGATTTGCCTGATTTGATTTACAGGTTGCAATACACAGTTCTTTATTCAGTTTGCACTCATGACCTCAACATCACAAGGTCCAATTGCTGAGAGAAACACAGCAGGATGTGTGACACATACACAAANTTTTGCAGCTATATTGAAAATGCACACATCATGTTATATACGCATGGCCGTGTGTATATGGAGATTTCGTTCATGATGGCTCAATAGGAATTAGGTTGGACTAGCGTGCACGCTATTTTATAAATCAAGTTGACTTGTAAACCAAAATAAAGATGACTGATCTATATACTGTATACAGTTTTGTTATAAATGCTTCACTCATCCATTTTACTACTCTACAAGTAAATGTACAGCTTAAATGAATTGTAACTCACTGTGCAAATGTAGTTGTCTTTATGTTTCTTGATTTCAGTTGGTGTAGACAGAAACACACATTCTGGGTGAAAGAAGTTCTTGCAGTTGGTGCACTGTAGTGATGGTCTGGCATTATTACGATTTGGACAATATCTTGTACATATCACCAATGTAGACCATCTACATATTAGGGAATAAAATCATTAGTCCTATGCTAAGTGACAAAGAAGAAGAGTGGAAACAAATTTGGACTCTGAATCGAGCAATAGATGCGCAGATTAACTAGGAAAAATAACTTGCCTACTAAAATAGCAATCCTTCATGAACCCAAAACAATGGAGCATTGAATTGTGGCATTGTAGAATCGAGTACAGCTACCACGGCTGGCAATTTAAGCTGCAATCCAGCAATATCCACCCTGATGTCTGCAACCAGCTTTACAAGATTACAGGTAAGGTAACAGACAAATAGCCAAAAGACAAAAAAACGCAGCTTGGATGACAAATCCAGGCAAAGCTGGAACTGCCACCTGTCATCACCATATGCACTGCGTTAAAACCACTGACTGAAGGTGTCAATCAACTTCACTGGTGCTCTACCTTGTTTCCAAGGTGTCCAGAATGGAAATGCTGTGTTTTATTACTAGCATAGCTCTTCACACTGATTTCAACATTAAGCTTGTTTGGCAAACTAGACCCACAAAAGAATACATATAATTTAGATGTCACATAAGCTCACAGCTTACTTGGATTTTCTCCATGGTTCCTGTGTTGCTATGACTGAAATGGCACGAGAAACCTAAAATTTAAAATGGACATTGAGGTATTTCACACATACTATTAATTTAAAATACATGTTTTCACTGCATGTGAAGTCAAAATATCTGAAGTAAATCACGTGATTTACTGGAAACTTTCCCAGAACTTTCTGTACCATTTGCTCCCATTCTGGAATTTCTTAAAATGTTTGTTGTCAATATGGAAAGTAGGCTGCACTCAATGGAAAAAAAGCACATCATACCTCTCTGTCTCCTCCACCAACTAGAACATGACTGTCAAAAGAAAACCAATCTGGAGACAAATAACAGATCTTCTCTGCTCTTACTGGTGAAACAAAAAATCCATCAGTCAGAAAGAATATTTCTTTCCTATAGTAAATTAAGAAGTACATAGGGGAGGTAACATATTTTCCAGATGGTTGCAAAAGGGAGTATATTAAATAAATAGTTTAATGTCTATTTAACCATTTGATAGTTATTTAAAATTAATAAGCAATTATGTATAAAGTTAATGTAATTTATACTTACAATATTTTTCTACATCAGCTCGGCAATTCTACAAAAGATGATAATTAAAGAGAAAATGTTAAAAGCATTTTTCTGTCACACAATCAACATCTGAGGACTGGAATTACAAAGAAACTAACTTTCTGAAAATCATAAATTAAATTATACCTTACTTACCTCCCCTTCACTTCATCCCTTAAAATCAGCAGTTAAGGCTAACCGTATGACTATAATTATTGAACTTTTATCAACAAACATGTATTAAAATGTACAAGTTCAACAGAAATATTTCTTACCAGTTTCTTTCCACAGGGTGTTATGTAAATGACATCACTATTTCTGCCAGATCCTATATGCCTATAAATAATCTCCCGCTGCCATCCTGATGAAGAAAGAGGATGGTTTTAGAGGTTCAGTTATTCAATAGCTCCTTGTCAAGGTGAAAGTGACAGTCAATATACAGTATTTATTATCTTTTTGAAATAATTCTAAATTCCTTTCTACATCATTGTTTCTATGTTCCATACTTTATTGTTATGTGCACAAGTTGCTAAACAGGTTGTTTTCTGGAAAGGCTGACAGCTTCTTGTAATTTGTTATCAGTTGGCACTGTATAATATGTACATCTAGGTCCCATTTATCAATAAAAGTGCAACTCTCCCTGGAATTTCATTCCACCCAGCCCATCTGTGGCGTTCCCTATAATTTTTCAATGCAGTGTGTCAATAAGGAATTCCAGCGGGTCACTTCCCAATGCTCCCAACGTAACCTTATCGGGTTTTTGACCTGAAGCCCCTCACGTATCTGGAACACTTCCCATCTGACCTGACTTCACCTAACTTGTTCATTGGTGTCATCTTACCATAGTCAAAAGGTTTCTGCATCTGTGGTATACTGAGTAACACAGGACTGTCATCTCCTGCTCAAAACATAAAATAAAATATCATGATTAAGTCCACGTTAATTGGCCTACACTTTCTCAGATTTCAATCCTTATTTTGCTGCCAAGTCAAAAAATGCCAAAATTTAGCAAATCATGGTATGCTTAATCTTATAGTATATATGCCTTGGTTCCTAACAGAAGGAGAAGGAAGAGGATTAAAACAATCTTTGCAGCGCAGCAACATTTAGACCATTTTAGGATTTAGCTTTTACATCTATATTTAATGGAAGTGTTTAATATGATAATTATAATTGTAATTCAACTATTCGCATCTCTAATAATTTTAGGTTATTTGTATTCATAGCATTGTTCATTTTTCATTAGGTTTGTAATTTTATTTTCCAAGGGCCACAAGTTGATTACCCTTTGGCTATTAAGTGTTAACATACCTTAAATTAAGTCTTATTTTTATTTTTATTTTTATAGGAATGCCTTGTCCTTAGGTGGCAGCCATCTTGAATAATGAAACTTTTACCCAGGAGGGTTCCATCAAGTCCGTCATGACCATCCAATAAATTACATAGATTTAGCCAAGCCTAAAAGTGGAGCTCCTGATTGCAATAGCTAACCATTAAGGAAAAAGAGGATTTGTTTTCCTTGGATCAGAAACTCAAAAAACAATCACTTGTTCAGCATGTGGTTTTGCTATTTTTTCCCATTAAATTTTCACAAACTATACCCAATTAGCATAACCAAGATTGTAGAAAATACGTACGCAATATATCAGAGACCTTCCAAGAGACGATTGTGCAAGGAATATGTCGGAAGAAAAGTAAAAAGCGTGCAACAGACGCACGTACACACGCACAGTCACTTGACAACCTAAATTTCCAGATCAAGTAAGACATTAAGATAACAATGTTTCAATGTAAGATCATACACAACATTCTTGCAACTAAAACGACTTGTTTTAGAAACAAAATTTTTGACAACAATGTACACATGGTAGTACCTCTAGATAATAAATTGTGTTCTTACGCTGCTCTTCTGTTATAGCCTATTGGAAGACCTTTCAAAACTGGTGGACAAATAAAACGAACCAGCAACTAACATTTATCAAATCTATATAGCGTGATTCTATACAGGGTTTTCAACAAAACAGAACACAGATACATGTACTAGCACAGATACTAACACTTACAAACATTATTGTTTTAGCTATGTAAACTAAATGATGTAAGTAGCGTTAACTATCATGTTGTACTGTAAGTGCTGTTGTAAGTATTGTAACCAACTGTTTTTACTATAATAGTAAGGTTTAGTACTGTGCTGTAATATTACTATTTTTCTCTTTTTATTTTGTTTAATTTCCTATTTATTTGTCAGTTAATAACTAAATAAAAAAAATATACAAACAAATAGCCCCTCATGACCTCACATGGTCCTTGGGATATAACTTCTTTGTTAAATCTGAAGGGTTAAATAAGCTTTATGCATCCACTACTGACAATTTAGGGTATATGATTGAAAAACGTTACTCTGGTTTAAAAAATGTATAAATGTTAGTAAAAATTTTTGTAAAAGTCCCAACATTTGGGCTAAAACTTCAGCCTTCATCAGGGGAAAGTGACAAGGAATTTGTAAAAAGGCACGTTCTTATACTATGCAAATCAGCAAATCGAAGCTAATCATATGTTAATACATATATTGTTTGTAAGTCATTCATCATTATCATATTTTATAATTTTTGACAATCTGATTCTCAGAGGACATGATTCTCTGGGTAAGTACTAAAAAACTTGAGATTTGTGGGAGATATCGGAAGGTGAGCCAGCGTTAGCCAGAGTGGTTACTCTCTATGCATGTTCAGCAACTGCTATTGAACTTAAACATATGTGCACAATCAAATTGAACCAAAATTTTCTGACTGTTTCCAGAGTGTAGTGCTTTTGGTCATTGCTGACTATGGAGTTCGATCTGGGGACAAGATTGAAATTT